GCGTTTTTGTGTTTCAATTTTATAAATAGTTTCATCAATCAGTTCTTGAAGAGTAAAGCTGTTTTGACACAAGCAGTCCACCAAAGCTTAAGCCTTCGGACCACATTTTATTACAATTCTTGCAGATTCACTATTAATCCACTTCCAGAAATGTTAACTATTATGCATCAGAAAACTTAACACTCATTAAAAAAATAGCAATACACAAAGGTGTGGCAGCCCAAAGCGCAAGAAATGTTTTATGAATGTCGGTTAAAACTAACGGTTAAGTTCAAGGTTCAGTTGAGGAGTTTAATTTTTGAAGTGTTTGACAAAACGCTTCTTTAGAGGTTAATAAGTTCCCATTTTAATTCCCAAACAGAAATTAATTCGAATCTTTTTGTTACCCAAAAATCTGACAAAAAAACATATTTACAGGAGTTTTTTTACAACTGCCGAAAATTTAAAAAAAAATTTCGAAAGCTCAAATCATTGTTTATAAAACATAAAACACAATTTTTGAATTGTATTCAACGTTTAAATTTCTTGATGAGTACAATTTTTCAATGCCACTATCCAATCCTTCTTTTAATTTTATAAGATATTTCTTTTATTTTTTGACTTTCTTGAAAGTTTTATATCATTTATTGGTACTGTTTATCAAAAAAATTGGCACTGTTGAACAAATTTTTGTTTTCAAAACCATTGAGCAATTTTTGACACGTTTACTGTTTAACTGCCCTGCTCAAATACTTGTAAGAATATTTTTTGAAGATTCACTTGTGGAGGATAAAAGTGGAGTTAAGTTAAGTTTCGTTGTCTTTTTAAGCAAGCGCACTTCAAGTGCAAAAGATGAACAATGAAATAACCATTTGAATAAACACAAGCCTAAAGCAATGTTGTATTTTTATCAATGCCCATCTTCCTCCACCGCGTATCCCCCTACTCTCTCACAGTTGAACAAACACACACACACACACACACACACACACACTCGCACAAACACAGCAACACAAACATTTTCAATAATTGTGACAAACGACACAAATTCATTAAAGAAAAGTGAAAGTAAACTCAAAAAACAAATCAGCAAATTGTTGAATTTTTTTCGCAAATTTGATTTATAATTTTTCTGGCAAATCTTGATTTATAATTCTGTTATTCTGTCTAAAGCCTCAATTTGCCTATATTCGAAAGAGAATAATGGATTATTTCAGAGCAAAAACCAGCATGGTGAACTCGATAATTTGAAGTTATTTAGTTTAAAAAATTACGTTCAGTTTGTTTTATAGTATTTTGTTTTATCTTTGTTTTTAATTGGAAAGTTTTCACAAAATGAATTTTCTCAAAGAAAACCTCATTTGTTTCATTTTTACTGGAAAAAGACAAGTTGATAATAGGTTTTTGCGTTAATCATTTTAAGAAAAAGCACTTCCTGTTTCAAACAAAAAATATGGAAAAGTATTCAAAAAACAACAAAAAGAAGACAAAAAAATTATTTTGCGTTAGTAAGAAAAATCCAACTATAAGTAAGAACTGCAGTAGTTACCATAACTTATTCTGGAAAAAAACTGCTTGCCGCTGAAACGTAGAAAAGCCATCATTTGTTAATGCAGTAATCGTATGCAAAACTTAGACAAAATGTGTTTATATTTCGTGTGCAGCTTTTTGGGGCTATCAAGTGTTTTTTTTCTTTGATAGAAATCTATCAAAAATCGTTTTTCTTTGCAGTTTTTGATGGAAAAAAAGCTATGACGAAGTTTGGACCTAATTTCATTGATTTTAGTATTTTCTGGAAGCCAAGTGTTTGATTTTCCCACGCTTGCTGTTTGCTTCATTTTCATAATTCATGTTGGCGGTCAAAATAACCTTTTTTTGGGGAAAATGAAATCGTTGCCAGCCACTCAGATTTTTGTTCAGTTTTTAGTATCCAAAATATATTTCCAGTGAAGCCGAATGACTTCAAAAAAATTGAAACAAAAGTACACAACATATATGCTATAGCAATTACTTTAAGACTACTAAAATAACCGCTTTTGAAGAAAAAAACTTCTACAAGTAGTATATTGATGTAGCGGCTCGAGATAATGAAACAAACATTTCAACTGCAATTATTGTCTTACATGATGGGGTGATGAAAATGCAAATATAGTTTAGTTATCGAATTTTTCCTCAAAACAAAAAAATGGATCAAATAAAGAAATAAAATAGCTCTTCCTATGATCCTCGTAGTTACAAAATTTTTGTTTCAGCTCAGGGAAAATTTAATCTATAAATCTTTAACTCCGCAATTGATGTAATTATTACGTAAATCGGTTTACTGATCTGGTAATTTACTGACACATCGGTTTACTGTTTGCACCCTCAAATAACAAGTTATTAGATGAGATTGATATCGTTTTGTACTCACAATTTTGCGGGGAAATCTTATTAATACAACCAATTAAGTCGAAAAACGAATTAGGTTGAGTTTTTTTGAGTTTTTGTTTATATTGCAAATATCTCAGGGTGCATTTGACTTTTTCAGGGTGCAAGCTTGCTGTTTTTATTGATAAGTTTTCAAAAACAATTAAAATTTGCAAACTTACTCAATTAATAACTTTAGTACAATTAAACAATGTTTTTCTGATTTTAACAAAATTTCCTATGAATTGTGAATCATTTTTGAAAACTCTGTCAAGCACCCATTTCAGTCCTTATTCCTTTAAGGGTGTTTTTTTTTTATTTGTTTTTTCATCAAAAATGTGAAAAATTTTATCAGCCCGAAATTTTTGTATCCTCGAAGGCACGATGAAATATTAGGCTTTGTATACCCATATGAACGTTTCTTCAAAATGATGGGTTGTAAATAAAATTTTAAAAACAACATTTCTTTAATATTAAAATTTTTCACTGGAAGGTCTAAAAAGCTCGAGCGAGAAACAATTTGGAGGTACCTCTACGAGTTGAGTGACAATTTGAAAATTTGAAGCTTTTCCGTTTTAAAAAGACAAATTTAGCTTAAGAAGTAGTTGTTTGTTTTTTCTAACTCTCCATCTTTAGCAAGGACTGAAAAAGCTTTCAACTCTCTTAAAAAGTGAGTGTAAGAAGTTAAGACTAGCTGAATTAGCTATAGTAAAAATCAACTATGTTAGCTGGCTATAATAAAACTGGGTAAACGTTCTGTTAAAAGTAAACTTAAGACGTTCCGGCTCTACTCAGACTTCGTCTAAAGAAGATTTAAAACAAAATTGTAAGACCAATTTTTCGGTACCTAGAGGCAACATTTGTTTTTTTTTGAACATACAAGTAACGAGCAATAGAGCGTCAATAACGTACCTTCTGCGAAATTTTCTCAGGCAATCTAAAACCAAAAATCAAAATCAAAATGGTCGTAAGAATCAAGGCTAAAAATCAAAGGTTGTAACAATAAATCCTAACAAGAACCTCATATCCTGTGAACAGTCACCATCCCCTATCATGTAGACCGGAGTTTTTACACAACAAATCCAAAAATCACCAGCAGCTGTTTTTTGTATCAAAAAAAATCTTTTTTGTTTTTATTTGTTAAGATAAGCCTATTTTTGTAAGAAATAGATAATTTTTCTTAACCACTGAATTTTTCTGAAGAGAAAATTTCTCGTCATGGACAAAAAAATTTGTAACTTCACGTATGGAAAACTTTTTTGGCATTAACTTCATAGTATAGAAAAAATGCTTATCATATTTTTTTATCAAAGAATTGAAAATTTGGGTAAATTTTTTTGTACATTTTAGAGATAAAAAGCTCCTACATTCATTCCAACTAATCGAAAAAATGCAGATATTAAAAATTCATTGTACGAAAAAAAATTATTTTCCTAGTTTCATAAATTTTTTCTTCTATGAAAATGTATGAAATTGTACGATAAACATTTTTTTCGTGTTATGAAATTGTATGGGAAAGGTGCTTTGTTGCTTTAAAATATTGTATGCTATTTCATTAGCAACTAAATCAATTTGTCCATGTTGAAATTCACTTTGATGTTGAAACTACAATATACTTTGAGCTAATTTGACTAATAAACAAGTTACTAATTTGGCATTATTTTGAAGTGTCACTTATCCAGTTGGAGAAGAGCAAAAAAAAACTCTAATAGTTTTGGAGTTTTTCGGTGTTTCATGTTATTTTATCAATGGAACATTTATTTTCCCAGATTATTGAAACAACTGTATTCAGTGAAAACTGAAAACTAAGGCCGAACTCGCAGAGAACATTTTTGGGTGGTTATAGAGACGAGTTAGACAGATTGAATGAAAAATTGACAGTTTAGTTTATATTGAAAGCTTCAAGGCGCCTTAAGTCAAAAATGAAAAGGCTTTAACAAGCAAAATATTCTGCACTATCTTGAAAGTCGGAACCATAATAGAAATTGTACAACTGATAAAATTTGAAACTTTATGCCAAGCTGGGGCTCAAATTCGTCTTATTTTATGAGAGCCAAAATTTGTGCTAAATCCTCATTTTCTTAGTTCAATAAATCCAACCTGATCCTGTTAATAGCCCCGAATGTCGTTGAAAGTTTCCTCCCCCCTTGAGATTAAACTTTTCAAAGTCAAATAAAAAACAAATTTTGCCAAAAAATCGTTTTTTTTTCTTTCCGGTAAATTATACCGAATTTCTCCAAACTTCTTGCTAAATCCCCCAATTATACCTACACTAAAATTGATAGCATAATTAATCAAATTATACAACTTCAAATACAAACCCATCATATACAACTCAGAGAACTCTAATCAATAATACCATGGAAAAGCTTGATTCACATGCCCTTGCTTTTTTATATTGATTAATTGAACAAAACCAACCGTTTTAACAACTTTGATTTAAATTGATCTAAGTAACTGTCATTTCCTTAATACAGCAAAAAACTGAAATGTCGACAAACTTTTTCATCAAGTAATTAAAGAAACAAGAAGCATCTTTCTTCCTGCTGATAGTTTATGTTTATGTTTATTGCTTATGTTTATTTATTCATAAATAAACATTTATTCCTGCTTAGGTGATCAGCCTCGAAAAAAAAACAGTTCGGCGAACTTCCAAAAGACGTTTCACTATTCAAGACTCTTCGGGATTTCTTCCAAGAACCAATCTTCTTTCTTTCTCATCATATTCCACACAAGGAAACAATATTCAAAATACTTAAAGTTCAAGAAATGGCTTCGAAAAGTGAAGATATTAAACAGGAACATTCTAAGGCGGCAAAGAGAAACTCGGCGGGAACTTCTTACTCGGGTCACAGAAGGCCAAGGTCAGTTCAATTGAGTCTATTCCGTCCAATTTTATTTTGTCATCTATTGATTCATTTGATTTATTGGATCAAGTTGGCATCATCCATCATTTGATTCGGATTAAGTTTGATTATCGCGGCTAAGTTAGAAACACTTGATTTTTTTGCTTCAAAATTCGATTTAGGAGGGGGAAGATAATAATTTGATCCTATCCATTTGGCGTTTAAATTTCCTCTTCCTCCAAAAGTACCCTGTCATGGTACCGTTTTCTGCCAGATAATGATTTACTTTAGTCAGATTTACTGGAAGCTAAAAAACTACACTGATTAAAACGTATGCTACTTAATCATATTTTTTCAAACTTTGCAAATATGACTTTTCAAGCATTCCCAAATCACTTTAATTGACCGCGTTGCAAGCAGCTCATTGAAAAAACGACCGAAAAAAGTTTTTTGTTTTTTGGAAACCGTTTTGGAAACATTAAGTAAAATGTATGACCGAAGATAAGGTCAAAAGATAACAAAGAGCTCAAATATATTTTGAAAGCCACTAAATTTAATGGTGAGCACAAAGTAACAAGGACTGCCAGTTGCTGTACAAGTATCACCGAATGTTGAAGCCACATTCATTAAGAAACGACAAAATCAACTTTTTTTAAAAATTAGTGTCCATTCTTGTACGTGGGGTGATGAATGAAAAAACTATACAAACGAGCAGAAAGCTAGTAAATTAGGCATAATCGCCAACAGTTGTCTTCAAAAAAACAGAAAAAAACGAAGAAAAAAGTTTTTTATTGAAAATTTCAATGAAAAAAAAAACAAATTTTTTTTTATTGTCACGGAGAAACGCTGAACAAGCTTTGAAAACTAGTCTTTGCCTACAGAAAAAAAGTTTCTTTTAGTGTGCATAACTATATATAGCGCTAAAAATTCCAAAAACAACTTTAATCGAATAAAACTAAGTTTTCACGACTTATATTAAGCTAAGATAAGCTATTGTAAGCCTCAATCATCTTATTAGCTCAAAGTTAGACCAACAATAAAAAAATTCAAATCGGTTAATCTCGACCCTGAGAATGTTTTACAAATTTTTTATTGTCATTCGAGTCATGACTGAAAAGGCTTTATTATGATATATAACTTGACCCATTCCGGCGATTATTTATGGTACGTGATTTTGCGTCGAAAACAAAAAGAAAAAATCAAAACACGCCATTCCTCCTTCGTAACAACAATCGAATACAGAGTACAATGCTTCTCCGAAATTTCAGTGGTCAGAGCAGAACATTGAGGCAAACAGTGACTAGAAGATAAGACATTGGTATGCATTTGTCATAAAATATTCGATCAGTAATCATAGCAACAACAAGGATAGCTGGTTACTGTGCTAGTAGCGCAGAATTTTCCATTCCAACCAACCGTCTTACAAAATTCAACATTTTTTTTTAAAACAGTGTTCTTTTTCCGCGTGGTCTGATAAAAAGATCTGTATGAAAAACTGGAGCTTGATAACATTCGACAGTCATATTCATTAGGAAAAATCAGCAATTTGTACACAGATGCGAAGCGGAGGTATGCACCGCTTGCGATACAACACAATCATAAAAAGCAGAAGTACAAAAAAATGAAAATATTTGGAAAAAACTAGGTGAACCAAAATTTGTGTATTTCTCTGTGAAAGACACCTAGGGCTCAGTTGAAGCTGAAGTTAAGTATTTAATGTTTTTTGAATTGTTATACTGATGCGGGACAAAACGCGTAACTGCAAAAATTAGACTTTGCCCAAAACGTTAGTTATTTCTCAGCTAAAGTAAGAAGAGTGAACATTTTTGAGATTTTGGAATTTTACCAAAAATCTAGCATTTCTCTTACAAAAATTAAAGAGTACCCGCTTCTGCAGGAAAAATTTGCGCAACCGCTTCTTTCGATTGAAATTTTCATCTCAGATTTGATAGAGTAATTTTTAAGAAAATTCAGAAAAGTTCTATGAAAGAGTCAAAATTCAAAAATCATTAACTTTTTTTGCTAAACGCAGGTCGTGGCCATTAAAAAGGGAAGAGTTCCAAAACTATATTTCTCGATTTAACACTTAAAAAAGTACTTGAGAATTGACAAGTAATTTTCCAATCGAGTAGAAAGAAGCTTCCAAAAGTCGATCCAGTTTTCAAAACTTTCACTTGTTTGAAATGGCAAAGCAAGTTATAAAAATTAACTTCCAACAACCTTTTGGGTCGATCAAAAACCTATGATATTAGTTTTGACAGGATAGTTATTCGGAAAAGACAAAAAACTGTCAACAAATCAGAGTTGACATTTCTGAGAATCATAATTTTTGTTTCAAAAAGTTTGGATATAGCCGGTTATGTACAAGAGATTTACCCAATTTATTGTTTCGATTGTGCCCAAAAAACTAAACTATGTTTGGCCGGGTAATTCTCGAGAAAAGTTTAAATAATTTCAAAAAACGGTCAAAAAACAAAATTTTGACGATTTCCGAGGGCCATAGTTTGTTTTGTATAAAAAACTAGGGCGTAGTAACTTATGCAAATGAGCTTCTCATAAATCCGTGGATTTATTCCAAAATCTCAGATATAGAAGGGTCTTTTTGGTTGAAATAATTGAATTTTGAAAAAAAACGCTCAATAAAATAAAAAAAATTGACTTTTCCGCGGACGATAACATTTTGTGTAAAAATTTCTGTCTGGAATCGCTAATTCAGGGGAGCTGTCAAGTTCCCGTTTTCTTTATTGAACTCGCAATCTCAACTTTGGGAGGTTAATTTTTGAGAAAAATTAAAAAAAGATTCAAAAAACGGTCAAAAAAATTAAAAACTCAACTACTCCGAGGGCCATGATTTTGTGCGCAAAAGAGTTGGGCATAGCCTCGTATTGAGGGGAGATTTTTAACTCCGTTCCATTCATTGAAATTTAAATGCCAATCTTGGTAGGTTGTTTTTGGAGAAAACGAAAAAAGTATCGGTCAAATCTTCCTCCCAGAGACGTTTTCGAAGACTGTAGACAAAAGAAGGGGAAAGCAAAAAGAGACCAAGCAAGTATGCAGGCACACAAAAATGTAGATGGTCTTTCTATGTATACCCCTTTTTGAATTTCAGTAGAAATATTTTTTGGGGAAAAACATATTTTTTTGCAAAAAAAGTACTAACATTTTCCGAAGCGCCTAAAAAATACCCTTGAAATTTCATAATACCTGTTTTCATCAAACAGGAGTTCTAGGCAAACATGCTAATCAAACTTTTGAAATTCAAATTAGCAACTGGACAAAACTTTTGAAATAGAAACAAGGCCGACAATGTTTGAGCAGAGACCAGTTGAGCCGAAAAAGACTTACTACATAAAAAACTTTGAAAAGTTGCCCTTGAAACTATTTTGAAACTTTTTTGCAGTTTTTTCAAACTTTTCAAATTTTTCTTTCCAAAAAAGTGCTAAAATACTCACAAAAGCTAAACTTACATCAGTAAAACTACATTCTTACGGTTTAGACTAACAGTTTATAAGCTTTTAAGTTATTAAAACAAACTTGTTAAAGCCAGCTCGCTCGCTTTACTCGCTCAAAATAAGACAAAAATTGAAAATTTCAAAACAGTTATTATCGACACCGAGAAAGTTTTTTGAAAATTTTTCAAAAGCTTTTTAGAAAAACAAAAAAAAAATAAAACACACCCGAATACAAAATCCATCCCCATTTTTCAAATACTCGGACCAAAAATTGATTCTAAGCGCAAATAAAAGAAGTAGCGGATTGAGTGGGAACTCAACCCCCTTTGGAACTATAATTTAGGGACTCTAATTTTGACCAAACGAGCTTCAAATTTTTCTAGATGCACCTTCTTTACGAGGCCAAACTGTGCCTTTTGTGAATTGTAAGTGGATTCCGCAACAAGGACGCTCCCTTTGTTTTTCTGTTGTTCTTTCATTTTCTTTGGTCATTCCGACAAAATATAAATATCTTAAAAGACTTGTTTCTGGAATCCAGGAACAAACAGACACAAAATTGTGCGCCTATCCAGTAAATATTTGACCTCGTAATGTTTTAGTATTCAGTACCAATAAGCATTGAATGAGGTGGGAGGGCGAAGGGGACGCGCGTCGAAAAAAACGCAATTTTTTGGTAGAATTCTTTTTAAAAATGCACCTATAAACGTCTTTTTTTAATCTGTTTTTCAAAAAACATTATTGATTTGGGAGAGCTCAGAAAAACAATTTAGTAGACCTAAAAAAGATGGACAAATATTCTTGAAAACCAGCCCCTCCTATCGAGAAAACCAAAAGTTAACGTATATATTTCAAAAAGTTCAAGTTGAAAAAACAATCTACTCTTTTGGAAGAAAACTATTCTGTGAAATAAAATATTTTTAGCGATTCTCATATCCGCAATTACATGTTGAAATTTTGCTGAGATTTTACCATTTATATTACCAAAATTACTTTAAGTTAAAAGGCGGTCAAATTATTCAGGGTCCTGACTTGGTCTTGACCTGTTAATAATTGACAATTTAAGACAATTATTTCAAAAACAAGCAGTTACGCTGAAGCAAGCAGGTACTTGAACAGAAAAAAAATCACACAATTTTAATATGAAAAGTTTTGTAAATTCGATTCAAACATTCAAGTTTCGACTCTGAATCCAGCTTTACACAGTGGGCAAAATTTCAAAATTTTACACGTTATTAAATGTTAAATGACGTGTAGCGGTTTAGTCTTGATCTAACGTTAAATTAGGTGTAAAATGTTATCGTTACGTGTAACGGTTACACTTTAGGCCCAAATGGGTGCTAATATGCTCTCTAACTTAACGTGATTTAACGTGATTTAATGTTCGAATTTAACCTTTTTCAAAGGTAATTTAAGTTCAAGAAGTTAGTAAGTTTGAGAGGTTTACCCTTGTTTAACGAACTATATATATTCACATTTTTTTCAAGGCAAATAAATTTTAAAGGTAACTTAAAATTTTCTAGTTCATATGATTTGATAACACTTGCCAACTCCATGCGCAGTAAAGTGCTCTCAATTTAATTGTTTTGAATATTGGTTGTCTCTGATAGAATTTTCGTCAAAGATACAATTAGTCAAAAGCTTGTTTCTAAAGCAAGCACTCACCAAACTTTGTTTGCGATGCCATAACGCGCAACTCAAGTCAGTTTTTGGACTGTTTTTTGTTCGCTTTTTTGAAAAACAAACAACAAGAATTGTGACATTAATTGCTTATGTTTTTCAGTCTTCTTTCTACAATGAAAATTTACAAGGGAGCTGACAGCCAGAAGACCAGTCAAAATAAAAGCGGTGACTCCAGGTGCGAAATACAAAGTTATCTCATTCACAAAAAAAAATCTTCAAGTAGAAACTAATTTTTTCAAAGTGACCGATTTTACGCTGTGTTCTCAATTAGTGTTTTTGAAATTGAAAAAAAAATCAAAAATCACTAACTTGTGTGGCGTGGACTCAAATTTTTATTATATTTTTTAAATATATCTTTTTAAAAAAACTTAGATCCTACATCCTAGATCCTATATTCAGTGTTATGTTTTTAAATTTTTTATTACAAGGGATTATATCATTTGGGAATTGCTCCAAGATCAAATTTCAATTTTTCCATCTGTTCGTTGAAGTTTTCTCAGAATGTTGAAGATACTAACACGGTTACTAAAATCAATATCGTTTTAGTAAGTCAACAGCAATTTCTGGCATAAAGATGGAAACTACAAATGTTGATGGAGACGCTCCAATGATGTTGCAAGCGACGTCTTCGTCCTCAGAAAATGCCAGAAAAAGGTCCAATTCATTTTCAAGGGAGCCTAAAGACTCGCTCCTGCAGCCACTGATTAGTAGTCCGGTGAAAAGCAGCCTGAAATGTCCTGTTGTTGATCCAAAAAACAAATCTGGGCCCAGAAGGAATAGTTTTTGCGTTTCAATGGAAGTCAAGCAAAAGCATTCGTCACTCAAAACCTTGGGACTATTTAAGTGAATGAAACATGAAAATGAACATTATTGTATTTTCTATCATATTTAAATCCCTTTTCAGAATTTAAATACTTATATCCCTGTTTATTTTTTATTGAGCTTTTCCCGCTTGTTTTGCATATCTCTTATTTAATGGCGTGCGCAAAGTTTTTGACGAGAGGCCGGTTTTGCGAAAATGATTTTCGATTTGTCGACTTATCTTTAGGTTATAACCGTTTCAACGAAAGCACTAACTTGATACTATCTTACTTAAACTTTCATCACCGTGGTTGAACTTTTACAAAATTTATACAACAATTACCCCCTCAAAATTCATGCATCAAACTAACGCATCAAATTAGCTTCTCAAATTGTGCCATTAATCAAAATTTTGGTTCAAAATGCATCCGTAGAAAGATACCTAAGTGATAGTCTTTTGGAAAAATTTGGCTACCGGAATAAAGCCACGTGTTTTTCAAATCGGTACCTTTGAATTTATCTCAAAACAGTCGCTGAGAATGTCACTGAGCATGTACAAATAAATGACTCAGAGGCAAAACGCAGCCTCGAACCACATGCGATAAATCACAAACGTACCTCTGTGAACTAGACGATAACATAGAACTGGTAACCAAAATAAAAAATTTCATTTTCATGAATTCCTTTTTTGACGAAAAAGTTCAAGAAGGGCCTTAAATTGCCTTAATCGAGCTCTAGAGCGAAATATAAAAGTGACAACTAAGCCGACCATACATGAAGAGACGACCCTTGCGCTGAAAAAAAACGATATGTCAAGAACTTGAGCATTGAAAAATCAAACTCGAAATTTATTTCCCTCAGCAAGGAAATATACAATTTTTGCCCAAAAGTGACACAATTTGAAGCCACTAAGCCAATATCATGTGACAAAGCTTTTAAAGCAAAGAAGCTTTAATTGAAATTAATTTAAAACAACAAAAGTTATACAAAAAACGGTGTTGGTAGTTTACACACAAAAAATAAAAATGAGTATTCAGTATCCTAACAATCTCATATGTGTTACGATGCAATAAATTTCAAGTAAAGGACCCCGTGAGACGAGTTCTATGAAGGCCTCAAGAAGTTATACCACGTGAGCAGGAAGTTGTTCACGGGAACAATTCTAGTAACTGTAATCGACTCGCAAAATTGTAGATATTAATCGAAAACGTTATTTCAAACCAACGTTTTTATTCAGAATCTGAACACAGGGGCAAAGCGGAGTTTTGCACTACTTGCGATACAAAAAGGAATGAATATGATTACCAGCAACTGAAAAGACAAATCGAATATCGAAAAAAACCTTCAAAAAAATCTTGCAAAAAATTGCAAAAAAACACCATTAGAAACTTTACAAAGAGTTTTCTTCAAAATGCTTAAAAGATACCGAACCATTCTTTGGGACCTACGTCGATAAAAATAAGCAGACATGAAAGTCTAAAGTATTGGGAAATTTTCAGTTTTATTTTAGTTCATACCCCGAGAAACAAGTCTATAATCCGGTCTGATAGCGTTTGCTAATCTCAAACGTAAGCAGCTTTAAAATGAAGCAATTAAAAAATACAAAAGTTCTGTATCGTCCAAAAAATTGTATAACGCTTTTATCAAGTTTTTGATGACGAGCTACTCTATTGAAGTCTGAATATTATGAGAAGAGTATGTTTTTGCTCTTTCACACATGTTCTGTCACGACAAGGTATGAATGAAAAATGAAATATTAGAACGCAAGAATGAAAAAAGAAATCATTTGCAAAATTTCGCGCATTTTTCCGGGTTTTTTCACAGTTTTCCGGGCTCTTTCACAGTTTTCTGGCATCTTTCCTTCAGAAAAAGCAAAAAAAAATACTCTTCAACAGTTAGAACATAGTTGAAGATGGCCTCGGGCAAAAGAGCCGCACTCGAGCACTTCGTGCCCTCACGCCGGGCTCTTTTTCTCTCGGGCATCTTTCAATTATGTTCTAACTACTACAAAGAGTCGACTTTCAGTTGTAACCGATGGCTTTACACTTGACTTTAATAAGCCTTTCAAAATTTTTTGACAAAAAAAATTTTTTCGTTTTTTTTTAAAATTATTTTACTCAAGAATTGCTTGCCGAATTGAATGAAAGTTTTTCCAAAATTTCAGAAGCCATTTTCAGAAGCTCTAAAACTCTAAACGCATTGGAGTCATTGAATAAGATTATAATTCAAAAACCTGAAGTTTTTCTATAAAACGAAAAATGGCGTTTTAACTTTTCCAATTTGAGTACTCTCCGGTTTACTGTGAAACAATTTGAAAGTAAAAAACGCGAGGGCACAACAGATAATTTCGCAACTTCGCAACAGATAACTCCGTAAAATGCTACTTCGCAAACACAAGCGGAAAACGGAAAAGTCTTGCTAAAAAAAATTAAAAATAATAGATTTATATTCAAATGTCATAGCCGCTTCATAATAATTAAACAGCGGAAGCTCAACCAAAGTTGGAGGTACCTGCTAGATTATTTTTCCTAATGTACAGAGAAAAAACTTGAGCTTAATTTTCGAATTTTGACAAAATGTGAAACTTTGAACATTTACCAAATCCATACCCGGTTTTTTTAATCAAAAACACGGAGAAAAATTTTGCACGTTTAAAATATCTTCATTTAATTGCATTTTTTTTATTTCAGAATTGGCACGGTCAGTTTTGGAAAGTCGAAAAAAATGGGTCAAAAGGTCAAATATATCTCAAGTTCACAGCAAAAATCGAAAAAATCATTTTAACAGAGATTGGCCGAACAGATTGTTCTTTCAATCAAACCCTTATCTTTAATTTCAGGAGCGCAATTTTTGAGAAAGCTTTAAAAAATCCAAAGATGAAAAGTTTATTTGAAAAAACAGATTTTTTCTAAATGCAACATAGCTTTTCAACAAAATTAGGGCTTGGCTGCTTTTATAAAAAAAATTCTAGCACCTGTTTTTCGATTGAACCCGTAATTTAAGATTTGGTAGAGCAGTTCTCAAAAAAAAAGAAACATAAAGAAATGGGTCAAAAAATACTCCCATTGAATTTTTTAACGCCCGCAGTAGGTCGGGTAAAAAACAACAGACTAGCAGAAAACTCAGACTCACAAAAGAGTCAGCGAATTTTTTATTGGTATCATTTTTTAAATATCATTAAAACAGTTCTCGAAGAATTTCGATATTTTTTTGAAAAATGCAACAAAACTTTCCGAAGCGTTTCAAAAAAAATCTTAAAAAACCAAATCCCTTATTAGTACTTATTTTACTTATCAAGAACTAGCCATCAGGATGCACCAAAAGTCAATCAGATATAAGAACACGACCGAAAAGCAGCTCTATCAATGAAATAAAAAAAAGTGAAAATGAGCCTCAAATTAGCAAAAACTCGACTACGTGTAGGGATTCGAATCTGCGATCTTGCAACTTTGAGTAACACGCAAAACAATAACCACTCAGTCATGGATTCTTAAACTCCCCACAAAATAGCCACTAATAACCAAGATACATATGCTTATAAAATGCCAATTCGATACCTTAAAATGGATACCAAATACAAAAAGACACAATTTTGCATGCAATAAGTTGGAAAGCATAAAGCCAAATTATGTTTAAATTATACATTTAAAAAAAACCTGAATACATTGCTTGCATGGAAAGTTTCTGAATTTGAGTTTTTCATCATCATACTGCTGTTTCAAACACTTAACTATTCGGTTCATTTGATGAATTGAAACTTTTCGGTTCATTTGATGAATTTAAAATGCATCACATGCGTTAACTTTTTACCAATCAAATATTTAAGCACATATGACATTATACTGCTACCGCAGCCTACTGATTTAAAAGTGCCAGCAAAGGTAGCACTTTTATTTGCGAAATTCGACTGGAAAAAAGAAGGTTTGTACTAATATACTTGCTTCGCCAATTAAGAAAAAAAACTTTTTGGCTCTTCAAGACGCATACGAGTTAAAAACACTGTTTTAGCAAGTTCAAACTAAGCAAGGAGGCACTTTTGAAAAAAATATATTTTATCAATTTTACAACAAACGAATTCAAGATTCTAAAAAGTTTACCCCGACAGAATGTAAAAAAAAAACGAATGATTTTCCAGTAACTACAATTTTTTCTTTCTTGCCGCTCTCGAACTACAGCTTGAACTAGATTTTAATAGAGAATGTCAATTAAAATGAAATTTCATTATATAATCGGGTCATTAAACCATATTGCGTAACACTTACGTCAATTGCTGGATTAATTATTTCTAGCATTTACTCTCCTGATAAAAACAACTACTTATTGGGAATAGTTCGTTTATTTCATTTTTTGTTTTGATGAACAACATTTCCATACTATGAAACTCGCAGTTTTCAGTTCGAATGATTACAGTATTGGATCAAGCATTTGTGGTTTACAGACCTGGTCCGCCCGTTTTTGCTTTACTATTACATTGTTGCTTAACTAACTGGCGCTGATTTAACGTAAGCAAATTGATATCATATTCAGCAATTCTGTCAGGCAATTATTTCTTTATCGGGAAAAAATCTAAATTTCTATTCAATAACGCTCATTTATCGAAATCTCTATATAACTATGTAGCAAATTTGGCTCGAAAACTTCTTAGCGAGCAAATTATCTTCAGCGAAATTAAAATTGATAACAGAATTTAAAGTTTTCTCTTTTCATTCAAATTGAAGATATTCATATAAAAAGATTGATAGATTGGCAAAGAAACAAAAATGCATTTAACATACTCAGCCAATGAAAAAAGGAAAATTAGTTTAAAAAATTTTCAAAACGAAAACTACTCTAGAAAAGATTCGATTGACACATAACCCATGATTGCCATCAAAAATCTTTCATAGTTATCTTCAAACGCAATTCTTTTATAACAATTCAAGGTTGCATAGTTGTCTGCAAGAAAATCGTGGCATTTGGAGATCAAAACAACTAGTATTAATTGAAAACAACAAGATATTCCGATAAAACCAAGCGCCACTGAATTTTTTTTGAAATATGTAACTTTCACAAATACTTGATCATCAGTTACCAAGTAACGAAATTGCAC